TGAAGGGAGACATTGGTCAGTGTAAGACTAGAAAAAAAAAACAACCCAAAATAATTTATAAATTATCAAGGATTCATGAGGGAGGGAGGGGGAAAATGAGCTGATACTAAGGGTTCAAGTAGAAAGCAGATGTTTTGAGAATGATGATGGCAACAAATGTACAAATGTGCTTGACATGATGTATGTATGGATTGTGATGAGTTGTACGTGCCCCCAATAAAATGATTAAAAAAAGAGAAAGAAACCAAACCCACTGCCATTGCAATGATTCTGACTCATAGCAACCCGATAGAACAGAGTCGAGCAGTTCCAGAGAGCTTCTGAGGCTGTAAATCTTTACAGAAACAGTCTGGTCTTTCTTCAGAGGAGCAACTGGTTTTGAATCACTGACATTTCAGATTTAGTAGCCTAACGCTTACCCTACTGTGAAAGTAGGTTTCTACTAACTCCATGGCATCCTGCAAGTCCTCTAAGACAGAGACCAGCAAACTGTGGCCCTCCACTCCTGTTACCTTACTCCTGCTATCTTAAAGTTTTAATGGAAACACAGCTATATCCATTCATTTACATATTGCCTGTGGCTCTCAAGGAGATTGGGGAGATTTAAATCCTTCAAACAAGTTGCTTTCAGTAGTTTCCAAACTTTAGCTACCCTTAGGACAAGGTAGAACTTCCCCATAGGAATACCAAAACTAATCTTTATGGAAGCAGACAGCTACCTTTTTAAAAAATAATTTTCCTGGGAGCTCTTACAGCTCTCATAACATTCCGTACATCAGTTGTATCTAGCATATCTGTACATATGTTGCCATCATCGTTTTCTAAACTTTTACTTTCTATTTGAGCGCTTGGTACCAGCTCCTCTTTTATCCCTACCCCCGCTCACCACCACCCCTGCCACCCACTCCAACCCTGTGAACCCCTTGATAAATTTTAAATTATTGTTTTCATACCTTACAGTGACGCTGTCTTCTTTCACCCACATTTCTGTTGTTCATCCCCATTTGGGGGTGTGTCTTAATGTGTTGATCATTGCAATCAGTTCCCCACTCCCCCACTCCTCCCCCCACCTTGCCCCTCCCCTCCTGGTATAGCTACTCCTATTTCTGTTGTGTTGTGAGCTCATATCAGTACCAGTGTACATGCTCCAGTCTAGCCAGAACTGAACAGCAGAACTGGAGTCATGATAGAGGGGGCAGGCTGAAGAAGCCTCAGAATGAGGAATATTTTCTGTTTCATAGGTGCTATACTGTGCCCTGGTTGACTCATCCCTTCCTTGGGTCCTTTCTGAGAGGAGGATGGCCTATTGTCTAGAGTTGGGTTTTGGGTTTCTGCTCTGACCCCTCTGTTCTCAAAAAATTTTTTGTTGTTGTTTTGGGGGTCTTCTGATGCCTGTTACCTGATTCCATTGACACCTCATGATTACACAGGCTGGTGTGCTTCCATGTGGGCTTGTTGCTTGTCTGCTAGATGGCTGTTTGCTTAACTTCAAGCCTTTAAAGCCCCAGATACTATATCTCTTGATAGCTGGCACCATCAGCTTTCTTCACATTTGCTTATGCACCCATTTTGTCTTCAGTGATCATATTGGGAGGGTGAGTGTCACAAGATGGCAGGTTGTTAGAACAAAATGTTTTTGCATTGAGGGAGGTTTTGAGCAGAGGTCCAAAGTCCATCCTCTTCCTCAGTGTACACCATGTAAACATACATACATAGGCCAATGCCTCTATTTTTTTGAATTAATGTATTTACATGAGTGCACACCTATGTTTATACCTCTATATGTAGTTTGCTCCCTAGATGTTTCCTGTTTCCTTTTGCCTTCCTCCTTCCCCAACATCATGCTTGCTCTACTTCTTAGTAATTCCTCTCAGCTAGATTGCTGTTGCTCCAACACCACTGGGATCGCTATGTCTTCCTCATTGTTAGGTTTAATTCCTTAGTTGTTCCCCGTGTATGGTGGCTGTTTGCTCACTGTTCCCCTCCCCTTCTTCCCCCTCTCACCAAGTCCCTCTGGAATTGTTGGTCCATTGCTTTCTTCTCAGACTTGCTTTTCATGCCTATCTTATATAGGTTGGCAAAACAACAATAAGGGAGACCAAACAAAAAGAAAACAAAAGATTGAATAAAAAGAGGGAAGAAAAATAAAGGAAACAACATGAAAAAGCAGACAATTCCAGGTCTGTCCTCTGACCTTTATGATTATCTCCTCACTGGTCCTGGGGAGTTCAGGGAACTGAACCTGTAATTTATTTTGGGGGGATTCTCACGGGTTTTGTGGCTTGACTTCTCCCATTGCTGATCTGTTATGTGCCCTCCTTAGATCACCCCACTGTGGGGGTGGTCAGACTGGACTCGTTCCTGTTGTGTGTCCCAGTATTGTCCTGTGTTGCAGTATGCATGCTACATCTTTTTAAAGGGAGTGGTTGGTGGATTTAAACCACCAACCTTTTGGTAAGCAGCCACGCACTGCTACCAGGGCTTACAAAGCCTAAAAATGTTTTCTGACTGGCCCTATACAGAAGTTTATAGACCCTTCCTTGTTCCAAGACTTCCATTTCCCTTCCTTAGAGGTTTGCATTGCCTTACAAAGGAGGCTGAATAAACCTAGGAGACAGCAGAGAGAAGAACTTAGAGGCTGGAAATAAATGGCAGCCTGGAGAGCAGCACAAAGAGCTCTGCTTGTGCAGTGTGTTAGGCTTTGTGCTGCTGATTGCACAGTCAGTGGTTTGAATCCACCATCTATCTTCAGTAAAGATTTTCATCTTCGGAAACATTATGGAGCAGTTTACTCTGTTCAATAAGATCACTATGAGTTGGAATGTGTGGCAATGGGATTGTTTTTGGTTTATAGCAGGGGTAGGAACGTGTGGCCTGTGAGTCATTTAATGCCCATGAAGTCATCAATACTGGCTAACTACATCTCACCAAAGAGAATAGTTCAGCCCATCACATTAGGAGTGAGATGATCAAATGTTGGAGCAAAACTACCAGGCTAAGTTTTAAGTTGATAATTTTGTATGGCCCTCAAATAATGTTACAAATATCCAAATGGCCTTGGCAGAAAAAAAATTCTCCGTCCCTGGTTTAGAGCATCACTGTCAATTTAACTTTCTACACTGATGGGAACGTTCGTTATCTGTGTTGTTGCCACAATAGGGCTGACCCCCATTTGTGTCTGTATTTTCCATGGTGTGGTGTCTTGGTGCTCAGTATTCAACCTGAACCGTGTATGTCACAATGTTCTAGACCACCCAGTTAGCCTTACCAATTACAAAGCCACCAATGTCTAGCAATTTTAATCTTTACTGCCTCACTATTTAGGAATGAGGACCATTGGTAGAATTAAGCTCCTACTGGTCAGCCCGACCCACTGTTTTGTTGCCCCTCTTAATTTCGGTTTCCTCCTTTGTAAAATAGGAGTTCTTCTAAGGTGACCAGATTTTAACATTGGTAAAACAGGACACCATTGATAAAACTCATATCCAGGTGAAATAGCCACATGGCAGCTGAAAACCGTATACCCTAGCTTGCGTGCATTCTTTCCAAAAATCGGGACTTTAAAAAAATGCCACGGGACATGGGAAAAATTGTTAAAAATCAGGACTGTCCCGCCAAAAGTGGGACATCTGGTCACCTTATTGTACACCCCCTAACATCCTTCAAGGTTGGTATTGGAATTAACTATCTGGCACTTGAAAAATGGTAGATGGAAGGTCGTGTTAATGTTAGAATGATTTGGTCCAGGTAACAAAGCTTCCATGTTGGAACCCAAGATTTTAATTTGCCTCACTTTAATGCCTGTGACTAAAGTGGAGAATTGGTTCAAAAGCTGATTTTTTTAAACTCTCTGTAAGACTCAATTCATCACAGGTACCATATTAGGATATGATATACAAAAATGATTAAGATCTCTCTTCAAGGACTCCAGTTTGTTTAGCATTAAGTTTATATACAATGCAAGAACCAGTAGCAAGAGACACTGAAATCCTGTGCCTCAATCATACCTCAGTGTGTGCTTTTGTGTGTTGAATTGTGGAGATAAATTGCTGGGTGAGGCCTCATTCTCAGAGAATGAGATGGGATGAGAGATAGCAATTAGGTATTGGAGTTCACCTTAGCCTGATTCCTGTCACAAGGCGAACATGAGTGAACATGCAGGGGGTTCATGAAAATCAGGTTTGTGAAGTCAGGTGAGTGACACACCTATTGAAGTAGATTATGTCATCTGGATTGGAAAGGTTCTAAAGATGAGTTTGGAATCACCTGTGGGCAGAATGAACAGGTAAGTAGTGGAGTCCCATTGCAGGTTGGAGCACAAGTGTTATCTTGAAGGCTGCTATAGTTTGCACCCAACCTCAGCCCATTGTAATTGGTGCCGAAGAGAGTGGCTGCTGGGTTTATTCAGTGCTGGAATTTGGCAACCCAATGTGCCCATAGTCCTCACTGCATACCTTCAGAATCAGTGATGGAGACCTAAAGTTGTCTGTTTTCATATCTGTCTTCAAACAGGCACACAAAGATATATTCGGCAACACCCCACCCCCACCCCCACACACCCCATCATTCAGACAGGCAGTTGTTAGGGCTAGAAAGAAACCCACTACCATCTATCTAATCATTCTGCCTCAGATCCTGATTAGGATTTCCAAGTTTACAGAGCAGATAGCCTCACTTTCGCTCTCGCAGTGGCTGGTGAGTTTGAGCTACTGATCCTCAGGTTTAGCAGCCCAACACTTTCCTGAGGGAAGCACAGAGTGACCTGGGCTCTGGAAGGGCCGACATAGAGCAAGCAGCCCTTTGGAGCCTGCTTCCCCAGCACTAAAGCACCACCAGAGAGATGCAGTCTACGTACTCTTCCAGCCAGAGGCAAACACCGCCTTTGCCAGCAGGCTTTGTTATTGGCCTCCAGCTCACATTCTGGCCCATGGGCATCTTAGTAATAAATAATGAACTCTCAGGGTCCTCTTAACCGACATCCTTTGCGGAACTGCTGTGGAAAACTTGGGAACCGAGCAACCGCCAGTGTCCCTCGCAGAGTCCCGCCCCCAACCTTGCTGATTGGGTAGCGAGGCGAGTACAGGCTTGGGATTGGTAGGCCGTGTCACAAAGGACAAGGAGGTGGGGCGGTTTCCTAGTGTAGCTCCTCCGGTCTTGAGGCTCCGTCGGCGCTGCCACGCCTCCCTGTCCACCTGCTGGCAGGCCCCCGAGCTCGCCGACAGGGCGAACAAGCTAGCAGGCAAGGCCGGCTTCCTTCTGCGCCCGACCAGATGGGGAGGACGCCTGGGGCCGCGGGCTGCTGAGGCAGCCTGCACGACTGCCGCCGACGCCACCTTCCCAGAGGGCGTCGGTGCCTCTCGGGACAGTCCGCGGCGCCCCTTGTTCGCCATTGCTCCCCTGTGTGGCGGACGCCAGAGCCCACGACCACACGGAGACCTGCGGTCCTCTGGCCGTGTTTTCCAGCGTTCGCCCCTCTCCACGCACTGTGGCAAGGTTCCCCACACCACACGGACAGGTGCCGATCTTCATTCACCCGACTAGTTCTTACCGGGAGCGGGCCCATAGCCGCCTCCGGCCGAGGCCTGTGAACCTGGGCTGCCGGAGCATAGCCTAGACAACCCAGGGCTTCCCGGTGACTGGCTGACCGACCTTCACGTATGTGTATGTGCATATATAGAGTATGTCTAGAAGTAGATGTGTGTGTATGGGGTACAGATGGGTGCTTTATATGATTTGTATATAAATTTGGTAGCCTGCATTTAAAACGTAAGGCTATTTTCTCACATCAATAAATATAGCTCATAGTTTAATAGTTCCTTCATATTCTGGATATCTTTCTGTTGGGGAGAAAGTTTAAAAGATAACTGCTCTTGTGTGGCTAAATTTCCTTAGAAGAGAGGCTATAGCAAATTTTGAGTTACTGAAAAGGCTTGGGTTCTGATGGGTTCAAACTGCTGACCTTGTGGTTAGTAGCCCAACTATACCAGCAGGATCCCCTGAAAGAACTTAATCAGTGCTATTATTGCCTTAAATAGCTTAAAAAAAAACCACATTTTATTGGCCCTTTCATCCATATATCATACAATTCAATAGTTCTACCATATCAAGAATGATACCACAATCAATTTTAGAACTTTTCCCCCCTACTCATCGTTATTTATGCAATTTAAAAATTTTCCATTTTGACAAAAAAAAAAACACATCAAAACAATCACCAGTTTACAACTTTTATACATATTATTCAGTGCCTTTTATTAAACTCGTCGTGTTATACAGTCCATTTTGAAGTATGCAATTCAATGGCACTAATTACATTCACCCTGTCATACAACCATCATATTTCTAATGCTTTCATCCTTTTAACAAAACTCAATACCCAGTAAGGAATACCAAGCTCATTGCCCATCAAGTGAATCCCAAGTCTTAGGACAGAGTAGAACTGCTCCATAAAGTTTCCAGGCTATAATTCTTTCTGGAAGCAGATTGCCACATGTTTTTCCTTTAGAGTTATTATTGGGCTAGAACTACGAACTTTTTGGATGGAAGCTGAGTGTTTTGAGCACACAAGTTTCATACTTAAATGATAACTTCCTTCTCCCACCCTCTGATTGCTATTAATAAATTTTTGTTTCTGTGCACGTGCCTATTGTCAGTATTTCATATAAGTGGAATCATAGAGTATTTATCCTTTGTGTCTAACTTATTTTTCTCAAAATAATGTTTTCAAGGTTCATCTATGTTGTATCATGTACCAGGACTACATTTCTCTGTGGCAAAATTATGTTTTATTGTATGGCTAGACCACTTTTTGTTTATCCATTCATTCTTTGATGGACACTTTGGTTACTTTTCCCTTTTGATTATTGTGAGTAATGATGCAATGAATAATAGTGTTTAATATCAGTTTGAGTTCCCGCTTTCATGTCTTTTGGGTATATATCTAGAAGTAGAATTTCTGGCTCATGTGGTAATTTTAGGTTTTAAGTTTTTGAGGAACCATCAAACCATTTTCCAGTTACACATCATTTTACGTTTCCAGTAGCAATGATTGAAGGTTCCAATTGCTCTATGTCCTCTCCAACACTTAATATTTCTGTTTTTCTGATACTATCCATCCTAATGGCAGTTCAAATTCACCAGCCACTCCATGGCAGAAAATTGAGCCTGTATGCTCCAATAAATATTGACAGCCTCAGAAACCCTATATTTGCATTTCTCTAGTGATTTATGATGTTGAATATTTTCTAATGTGCTTATTAGTCATTTATATATCTTCTTGATGAGCCCTGGTGGCATAGTAGGTTACATGTTGGGCTGTTAACCCCCAGATTGGCAATTAGAAACCACAGGAGAAGGATGTAGCTTTATATTCTTGTAAAGAGGCAGCCTCATATAGGAGCAGTCCTCGTCAGTCCTGTAGGGTCGTCATGAGTCAGAACTGACTCAGTGGCATTGAGTTTGGTTTTGGAGTTATACTTGCTCTTTAAAGAAAATTGTGTTGTCTTTTTGTTATTGAGTTGAGTTCTTTATATACAAGATTTTAAATCCTGATCAGACATATATGAATACCAAATACTTTCTCTTATTTTATGAGTTATATCTTTACTAAAAATCTTTGATTTGTAAAAGCTCTTACTTTTGGTAAAGTTCAATTTGTCTTTTGATGCTTGTACTTTCGTTGTTATATCTAAGAATCTATTGTCAAAAATTAGGCTGTAGTTTCCCTTATGTTTTCTTCTAAGAGCATTAGGTTTTAGTTCTTATGCTTAGGCCCTTATCCATTGGAGTTAATTTTTCCATGTGGTTTGAATAGTATAGTTTCAGCTTCATTCTTTTGCAACTGATGACCTAGTACTCCAGCACCTTGTATTTATTTAACAATTTTATTAGCACATAATTCACATATCATACATTTCAATAGTCCAGTCATATTAAAAAGAGTTGTGAGATCATCACCACAATAAACTTTAGGGCATTTATCTTTCTTGTTTGTATTCATTGTTATTAGCTCCTCATTTTCCACCAACCTCCCCTGCCATACTCCTGGGAAACTATTAATCTAGTTACTGTCTCTATAGATTTACTTATCTTGGATTTCATATTAAAAAACCCAAACAACCCAACATTAATGAAAGAATAAAACAGAGAAAAACCTCAATAGAAAAGAAAGCAGAAATTTTTACAAACTGGGAAAAAAAAAACCATTGGATCAAATGACAAGGTATAACATTTTTAACCTAACTTCATCTGTAAATATCTACCTTATAATGTACTCTGTCTGATAGGAAAGCCATTCCCACAAGGGGACCCTGCAAATAGATTTTGGGTTTTCACTCTCATCCATAACCTTCTGCACAACCGGGTGTTCAGAATTTAAGCTCTAATACTATAATCTCATCTAGATTTGGATTTTATATTTATAGTCCTTAGATCACAGAAATTGGTGCGCTACTGTGTGGATTTAGCTGACGTTTCACTTAAATGGCTGATTGTTTTATGACAAACCTCTAAGACCTAGGTACTATTCTTTGTGATAACTGGACACTATCTGATTTCTTCACCATACTTTGCTATAGCACCTATATCTTCAGTGATCTCTACATGAAGGTAAGTATCAGGCAGGACCATGCCATAAGAACTTTGTCTCCATTAAAAAAAAAAAAAAAAAAGGTGAAGGAATGCACATAGATTAAGCCTTCGGTGACTCTCTCTGACCATAGACCAGGGATGTGAAGAACCTTGCCGTTGTACAGAGTGCACTGGAAAGTGGATTACGGCAGATGTAGTTAGGATAAAATTTAATGCCTTATCATTTGATCTCCCTTTTGACCCATTTTAAAATTGTCCTATCTTTTAATATTTTCTACTTTCATTTTGATTAAGGTTGTTAGTTTTTTGTTTTGTTTTTGTATGTTTTTCTGTATATGAAATCCAGGATAGGTAAATATATAGAGACAATAACTGGACAAATGGTTTCTTCAGAGTATGGCAGGGGAAGTTGGCGAAAAAGGGGGAGCTGATAACAATAAGTACAAGAAAGAAGAAAATATTCTAAAATTGATTGTGGTAGTAACTGTACAACTTATCTTGATATGATTGAACCATTATTGTATGATATGTGGATTGGTGCCAATAATTTAAAAAAACCTAATTGTTCTTAGATTAGGGCTATGATTAAGCCAGCATCATTCATTAAAGTGACGATTCTTTCTAGAAGGAGCTCTGCTAACTGTAAGTTTGGAGGTTTAAACCCATCCTGAAGGACTGAGGGGAAAAGATCCAATGATCTGCTCCCCTAAAGATTTAAAAACTACAAAAACAAACCCACTGTTTTCAAGTTGCTTCAGATCCATTAAAACAAAAATCTAATGCAATCCCACTGCCATCAAGTTGATTTTAGCTCACAGCAGTCTTACAGGATAGGTTAGAACTATGCCTGTGGGTTTCTGAGATTGATTCTTTATGGGAAAAAGCATCATCTTTGCCCTGAAGACTTGATGGTAGTTTTGAACTTTTGAACTTGTGGTTAGCAGCCCTATACATAACCACCCTATATAGAGCTTCCAGCACTGAAATTCTTTACTGGAGCAGATGGCCTTATCTTTATCTTGTGGAGCTGCAAGGAGATGTGAACCACGGATTTGTAGTTAGCAATCCAATGCTTAAACCACAACATCAACAGGGCTCCTTCCTATAAGGATTACAGCCTTCTTCTTTTTTAAGATAATTTTACTGGGGGCTCATACAACTCCTATCACAATCCATATATACATCTATTGTGTCAAGCACATTTGTATATTTGTTGCCATCATCACTCTCAAAACATTTGCTTTCTACTTGAGCCCTTGGTATCAGCTTCTCATTTTTTCCTTCCATCCCGCACCCTTCCTCCCTCATGAATCCTTTATAATTTATAAATTATTATTATTTTTCATGTCTTACACCGACCACTGTCTCCCTTCACCCACTTTTCTGTTATCTGTACTCCTGGATGTGGTGGTAGTTATATGTTGATCATTGTGATCGGTTCTCCTTTTCTCCCCTCAACCTTACCCTTACCTTCCTGGTATCACTACTCTCATTATTTGCTCTGAGGGGTTTATCTGTCCTGAATTTTTGGCATTTCGAGCTCTTGTCTATACCAGTGTACATGCTCTGATCTAGCCAGGTTTGTAAGGTAGAATTGGGGTCATGACAGTTGGGATAAAGCATTAAAGAACTAGAGGAAAGTGGTGTGTTTCTTCGATGCTATATTGCATCTGACTTGTCTCTTCTTTGTGACCGTTCTGTTAAGGGAATGTCCAGTTGGCTACAGATGGGCTTTGGGTCTCCATTCCACCCTCCCCCTCATTCACATCAGTATGATTTTTTGTTTTGGGTCTTTGATGCCTGATACCTGATCCCTTCAACACCTCATGATTACACAGGTTGGTGTTGATCTCAGCTAGATGGCTGCTTGTTTATCTTCAAGCCTTTAAGACCCCAGACACTATATCTTTTTATAGCATGGCACCATCAGCTTTCTTCACCACATTTGCTGTGCGCCCATTTTGTCTTCAGCGATCGTGTCAGGAAGGTGAGCATCACAAAATGCCAGGTTATTAAAACAAAGTGTTCTTGCGTTGTGGGAGTACTTGAGTGGAGAGCCAATGTCCATCTGC